GGATTTTCGGATAGGGATAACTAAATTGCAGCAGCAGTAAGGTAGGAAACCAGAACCTGTTGCAATTCACGGGATGATCCGCGATGGTGGAGATGATGGCGGAATTTGGCGACGATCTTTTAAGCAATTGTGGGAATTGCTTTGGGTGGCTGTGGAGGGTTGATGGATGGCTGTGGAAGGGCAGTGAGACGCCAAGAACGTTGCTCTGATACCAGGTGTTAGAACCCTTGCAGATTCTAAACTTGGGGTTGATCTCTTTAGGGGATCGGTCTCCTTGGAACTCTATAAGGGTTCCTCCCTCCAAGTTGCTGCTCAAAGGCTGCAGAAAATATTCATCTATTGCTTAAGAAAAGAGAAGGAATACATGGCTATTTATAGGGCTTCTAAACCCTAACTCCTAATAGGACTCCTACTTAAGACTCTTACTTCTAACCAACTCCTAATAGGACTCCTACACAAGACTCCTATTCCCTTATAACTTTTAATTCTTCTCTAAGAAAAAACCTCCTACATGAATGTCCTTCTCAATTAGGACTCTCCTAGCTAGAGTCCTAACAATGTCCCTCTCAATTAGGACTCTCCTAGCTAGAGTCCTAACAAAGGCTCCAATAGGTATCCACTTAGTTCAAGCGACATAAGATGTTTAAGAAATTGACGTATAATATGGAAGGTCCTTTCCTTCATCTTGAGGATCTGCAAGAACCAAATGGATCAACACAATTTAACCGACCCCACACTAGAGCCAGAGTCATTGGCGTGTTGAAACAACATGACGGATCAAAGTTTGACTACTCAACAATAGCGATGGTGTGTAGCTGGGAGCCAAGAGATGCGTTGCAGCTGGAGCAGAAGATTGAAGATTCAACAAAGGTGATGAGATGTAGCATCCACAAAGGTTTTGACCAGGACGTCAAAGGAATAAGTGGGGGAGAATGTCCTGAACAAAATTGTAAATCAGATGTTTGATGTATTGCTCACATATATTTGTGTCTTTCGGTTTTGTTTATGCTTTACACAGCTTGTAATAGGCTTGCAATAGGCTTGGTAGCCCTAGTTTGATTGGATTTAATGGTTGTTTCAGGCTTGTAAACGTAGGTTGTATGCAGAGGCAAAACTACGTAGAAACATGCCATTTTGGTAGTCATTTTGGGGGTTTTCTATCTTCGTCGAGTTGTGCAGAGTGTTAGCTAGAACGACACCTGGGAGCTACTCGAGTGGCACATGGTTGGATGAGCTTTTGGGGTAGTGTCTAGAGCTGGTTCGCTGCCTTGTTCCGTAGCAGTGTCATGTGAGCACTTGTGGAGACTTTGGGTTGTGGTAGACCACCTTGGGCCCTTTGTTGTGTGACCATTCAGAGCTTATGAAGTTTATGTTTGCAATTTGCATTGCTTATCAAGTGTTTGTTGAAAGGGTTGCTTGTGGATCCCGAGTTAAATGTTTTCTCTAATCTGTTTTCTCTTTTGTAGGTCCTTAATGGACCATAAAAGGTTTCGGGGAGGCTAACCCTTAGCGGATGGATACACAAGGGTGCCGTATGAATTAGGCAAAACTAACAAGTCCGTGATAGTGGTGTTCTGAGTATTGATGTTCATATTTATATGCTAATAGGTGGATGACATGGCATGAGGTCTACTCACTCTAAGGAGAGCGATATTTGTTATTTTAAAACTCATGTTTGTTGAGAAACATGATTATTATGCATCACTGAATTGGTTTTTTAAACTCCTTTCCATGAAGCAAGGAATTCAAGCATATTTAGAGTCTCGATCCATTAAGTTGAAAAGTAATTTGTGTTAGTGACATCATTGCCCAACTTATTCAGATATATGACTATTGATCTTGTTCCTAAAGTATAAGCTTATCTTTGGGATTTTTTTGTAGATTAAGATGAAATATTAATTTACCTTTATCAATATCATTTCTGTGAGATTAGTTTTACACCAACAAACATGCTAAAATGATGACTTTCAACTTATTGCTTAAACTGGGGGAATGCACCATTAAATTTCATGGAATGCTCCAAATCTTAGTCAAAATTTGGCCTAGCCATGTCAATATCACTGACATAGGTTGGTATTGTTTCAGTTTAGCCTGCGACCAATTAATCTTACCATTCATAACATTGTCTTCAGCTGATTGTAATGTTCAAGTTACACTTTGATTGTAGTACACTTTTCATAACAACTGCTGGTACTTTATTTTTTTTTTTGGATAAACTTCTAATTTTATGCAGTAATAAGCTCTCTCATTAGGGTGAACTTTGGAGGGATTAAATGGGATGATCAATTCTAGTTTCTGTTTCTGTACTTTTGATGTTGCACATATGACATATGTAACTATGATCCTAATAGCAACTGTATAATTTTGCTTTTGGCTCCTTTCTATTCAATGATTATGTGATATCTACAATCTAATGATTATAAACAATTCCATTAGATTGACCATCAGAGAAACAAACAAGCAACTGCACATATTTTATTTTAGTTTTGATGCTATGGTATTTATTACTCATTACCTTTGAAAGACATATTCTCATTCAAGAGTTCTGTTGTCAAATACTGTAGGAAGATTGTCCATATAATCATATATATAAGTACTTTTGTTTTCAACATTTAATGTTTTATTAGTCTTGCTGTTTTCTTAGTAAGCTATGTCTGAATTGTTAGGGATTTCACTTCCGATGTTCTGTTCCTTGTAGATAAACCCTCTGGTTGAACCAACCAAGACAATAATGGATTTAGGAGCTGGAACGTATGAATGGCATGAATTCTTTCCATACTGTAAGATTATAATCAGAGTAACTAGACTATGGCTGCTCTCTTTGACTTGTTAGGTTTTATTATAGATCTATATTGTCATGATGCAGTGCAACATAATATTGGTGTTGTTATAACTATATGGGCACCAATTGTCCTGGTATGTGAATCTTTCACATACTTTCTCTTTTTCATTTGTGTTTTCCTTTTTTTACTTATATTCACCATTTTCAATTGTTAGGTTTATTTTATGGATACTCAAATATGGTATGCTATTTTCTCTACTATATTTGGGGGTATTCATGGGGCATTCAGCCACCTGGGTGAGGTAAGAAATTATTATTTTGTTTTCTTCATAAAATATAAATTTCAGCAATCTTGTTGCCCCTTACAATGTTTATATTCTCTTTTAAATATTTTTTCTATATGGTTTTGTGTGAAAATTAGAAATCTTTATCTAATTACTGTGTTCTTGCAACTTGATGACCTTCCATAGATCAGGACATTGGGAATGCTAAGGTCTAGATTTGAGTCAGTGCCATCTGCTTTTACTGACCGCCTTATGCCATCATCGGAGAATGAATTAAAAGGAAATCAGGTTATTGTAAATTAATTATGTTATTTATACTCTAATTAATCATGAAAGTTCCTCCTTTTTGCAATTTGAATTGGATTTAATCCCAACTTAGTGTTCAGTTATTCACAATTTAAAATAAGAGCCAGCAATTTCCACTTGCTTCCGTTGACTTGTTGCACAAGCATCAAATTTGCAGGAAGAGATTGAGAGACGGAACATAGACAGGTTTTCTCATATATGGAATGCATTCATAGACTCTCTACGGGATGAGGACTTAATCAGCAATAAGTTGTTATTCTTTAAGTTACTTTTACTGGTTTTGTTGACAAATGTTTTACGTATTATATTCTCTCAATTTTCTTGTTGTCATTCAGGGAGAAAGACTTGCTGCTTGTGCCATATTCTTCAGGCAATATATCTGTTGTACAGTGGCCTCCTTTTCTTCTTGCGAGCAAGGTATATGTCAAAGTCTCTTCTGTTGCTCTCTGTCACTCTATTTGGTACTTGTTTGTTCTAATCATTGTTTGCAAGATTAATAGATTCCCATAGCACTTGATATGGCAAAAGATTTCAAGAGAAAAGGTCAAGGGGAGTTAAAAAAGAAGATAAAATACGACAACTACATGTTTTCAGCAGTAATCGAATGCTACGAGACATTAAGAGATATTCTTATCAACCTTTTGAATGATGAAAAGGAACGAATGTAAGCCAATTTTGTTTTTGTTAGTACTAATTGGTTGTTGGATGGTTTAGTATTGATGCATAGGGTTTCACTGGTAATGAAGAAGTGATATCTTATTCTATTTTCTTAGTGGTAGACATTTTTTTATTAAGATTATTATATAATATGCTTGTCTGCAGAATTATAAGTCAGATTTGCTCTAAAGTTGACTCCAGTATTGATGATAATAGTTTTCTTGAGAGTTTCCAAATGAGTGAGCTGCTCCAGCTCAGCAACAAATTGGAGAAGCTGCTAAATCTTTTGGTAAATCTTCAGCTATTGATCTGGCTTATTTAGTTCATGGTGTCCCAGAATACTCCAGATGATAATCATGATGGTTCTCTTAATAAATTTTGTATTTCTGCAGAAACTTGAATATGGGGAAATTGAATCATTTAAGACACAGATCATCAATGTGCTGCAAGATATAATGGAGATCATTACACAGGATGTGATGATTAATGGACATGGGTAAGATATAGTTGATACGTTCTTATCAAATGCTGATGTATGTCCTAATGGCTTCTCTATCCCATATAATTTTGTTCCCTTCAGCATATCTGGGGTAGCATATGAATCAGATAGGAAGCAAATGTTTACAAATTTAAGGCTAGAACTAATGGAGGACATATCCTGGAGGGAAAAGGTGCTCAGTTAATCATTTACCTTTCTTGATGATTATGCATGATGTTATTAGAATTCATTCCGTTCAGGTCACTTAACAGGTTGTGAGGCTCCATTTGCTTTTAACAGTCAAAGAATCTGCAATAAATGTTCCAATAAATCTGGATGCTCGCCGTCGAATTACTTTCTTTGCCAACTCCCTGTTTATGAAGTTGCCGGATGCTCCAAAAGTTCGTAACATGTTCTCTTTCAGGTGAAGATCTCTAACATGATTGTGGCATTGAAGTGGTATAAATGCAATTTTTTTTTTGCAGCTTCAGTGCAGGATGAACTAATATCCTAGCACATTTTTCACTGAGCTAGACATGGTTTATTTTTCAATATCTGTAGATGCAATTCCCTTGAACTCTTTTGACAGCCTGCAAGTTCTCAAGATTAAGCTGACCTGATTTTGTTAAACTAGAACAGTAATTCTTAATCGTTATTGAATTAATTTTTAAGTTGAAGTTTATTTTTGGGTGCAACACACCACCAAAATGACATAAAAAATTGTTGCCTATATTGTTCAAACCTGCAGTTGAATTCAAACCCAAGGGAAGTGTGAACTGCTTACAATTTTTCCTTTTCAACCTTCCTCATTGTTAGGGCTGTCAACAAGAGGTATCCAGCCATCTATTGGTATAGATGCATAGCTTTTTGCAATAGGCTCCTTTTGGACATTTTGAACAAAGAACACAGACTAGAAGTTAAGCTTATCGCAATGTTTGAATATTAGAGAAAGAAATGTATAAACTTTTATGTGGTTTGCATGAATCCTAAATAACTGATAAATTAGTTTGGTTTCATAAGTTCATAACAATAAATATTGTGGTTCACCTTATCGGTTTGTACCGATGTACCGACCAATTATTGGTACAGTACGTACCGGGCTATATCAAGCATACCAACACACAGTACATGGGGGCATACTGATGTACTGCCCATACCAATCCCCTATCGGACTAGTACGTACCCCTCATATCGAGCGGTACGGCGAACCTTGATTTCAAAATTGTAAAATGTGCTGCCCAGGTATTTGTTAGAGACCTAAGCAGACGCTGGGCTTGGAGGTTCCCTTGATGCTTCTATTCATTGGATATTCTATTCCTTGCATGAAAATGACTTAGATCCCTCTTATATGATCCTCTGTTGTGTCTGGAACTGGCATAACTTTTGTCATCTGTGTGTGGAAGAACCAATGAGGCAGAACTGATCTGGGTTGTCTAAGCAGTGAACCAAGTTGGACCCAAGCCAGTATTTACCTGTCTGATGGTCAACTGGTATGCTGATTTGGTAATTTCTCGTGGTCCAGTTCCATAACAGGTGTACTGCTGTTATTGCTACAGTATTAGTACAGAATACTAGTATGAAAATAGCAAATGGCTCAATATAGGATCAAAGCTGCTGTGGTAGTAGTACAGTACTACTAGTGCTAAGCTAGTAAATAGGATAAAGCTGCTGTGCTAATGCAGTAGCGGTACTGAACTAGCAAATCTCTTTACAGGAGCAAAATTGTTGCTGTTGAATCAAAGTTGTCGCTGCTACAACAATTCTAGTATTAACTTAGCAAATAGCAATACATAAGAGTAAAGATTATGCAGATTGCATTAGTTGTAGTAGCACAGTACTACTTTAGCTTAAGAATTAGATTAAAAGAAATGAAACAGAAATTCCAGTGACTTTAGATCAAGAATCAACTCCCCAAGGATGAAGGTTTCTTTCCCCGAGTGTCTTGCATGTGGAAAATGGAGCCACATTTTGGAAAAAAATATGGTCTTACACCATTCACATATAGCTTGTGAAAACATATTTTAATTCATTCAATCATGTTTTTAAGTACAACTCTTTCTTTCTAACTAGATCCCCAATACAAGAAAGGAAATTTATATTTAAAACAATCATATTATTTCATTTATGGCCAATGAATCATCCTTATATTATTTAGGAAGAATATTAACTTTTTTTTTTAATTCTGAAGGATGTCCTTTTTTGACAAGATATTTGGTTGGTACTAGTTTTCGTTCTTGTAGAGTATCTTCAATAAACTATATCTCAAATTTTATCAGTTTTCTGTAACTTTTTGTTCTCCTTAGATTATATTGGTAGGTGTAGTACAGATCGCCATATGGCAACTCATTTCAATTATTCTAAGAACAAATTAAACAGCATTGTTTTACAGCATATTATATATGAGCACAAAATATAGTCACTATATTCATCCTCCTTTTCAAATTTGATTCCCAAGTAGCCACACAAAATAAAGCATCTGATTATGAAAGAGTTCAGGATACTTCTCTCAGACTTCATGGGTCCTCTCCCAAGTAGCTTCATTGACACTGTAATGTTACAATCTAATTCTGGTATAGTTTTGTTCCTTATGAAGTTCATTCCATTCCAGAATCTATATGTTGTTGTACACAAGTAACATCCTCTAGCAACTATAAAGATTATACTATGAGACCGTTGCAACTTCATGCAACCCCCTACATCCTCTGCTAGCTTGTCCAGGGAATAATTCTTTCTAATGGGACAGAAGCATTTTGACTTAGGTGGTCAACAATCATGCAAATAATGTCATGTCTGAACCTAGTTCCAAGTAATGATGTCATAGTCTATAGCCTAGTTCTAAGTAATGATGTCATAGTCTATAGTCACAGTCTACCATTTTCACTTAGGAATAGGCCGAATCTTTAACTTTCTGGTGAACTTCTGGTATTCTCCAGTCTCCCATTTTCACTTAGGAATAGGCTGAATCTTTAACTTTCTGATGAACTTCTGGTATTCTCCCTTCATCTACTGGCATACTAATTACTTAGAATTATTTGCAACAGTATCTCTCTTCCTATGTCCTCACCAATAACCTCAATACATCTTGATACACCTTGGTATTGCCTGGGTGTATGACGAATTAGGAGTTATTTGTTCAATAATTGCTGCTGAGTGGATGGTCCTCTAAATATTAAGTCAATCATGAAATTCAGAGGATCCATTTCTACCTAAAGAAACTCTAACTTTAATCCCTGATATAGTTCCTTAGCAATGGTCTAAATGTAGGGCTTCCTTTTGACATTTCCTAACTCTTTCTACTAAAAATGCCATCAAATCCACTCAATATTTCTCCCAACAACTCCAATCCCGAGTGTGACAAGCGTTTAAGCACCTATGAGTTATAATTATCCAGGTGGGCGGCATTCTTTGTAGATCTCTTGCTTAAAGAATTAGCAACAACATTCGCTTTCCATTTTAATGGGTTCACATTCGCCTTCCATTGCTGATAATTGATACTTCAATCTTAATCCTTGAGGTGTCACCTTCACTGTCCTATGAAGAGAACTGATATTTGACTATCTAGTGATCAATAATCTTCTCAAATATTTGACCATAAAGGTAACACCTTTGGATTTTATACTGAAGATGATTGTAGCTAGTTCCAAATCATTGATAGGGTTGTTTTTTTCCATCTGTATATGCTCATAAGTCACAACACTCGCGTTGCATCTAAAAACAACCAAGCCCTTAAATCAAGGCTTCACTGATTCTACAAACCCATCATCACCAAAATGGATCACTAACACAAGCGCACTAGTCCACTGGGACTTAAGTTTCTAAGATCTCTACTCACATTTGGGGTCACATTTGTCATCCTAAACAAACTTTACCTTTATTTCTAATGAGTCAAGGAAGTGGCTATCTTTGAGAAACCGTCCACTAATATTCTGTAGTAGCCTACTAGTTCAAAACTTCTATTCTCAGGCAGAGTATATTGTCACTTCCATTCCATCACAACTTCTACCTTATGAGAATTCACATAAATATTTGTATGGATATCACATGGTCAAGGAACATACCTACATGAGTCAAAATCTACACATGCTCAACTTCACATAAAGTTTTCTTATCAAAGATGTTCAGAGATGTTGCTCATGCTCTGTTTGACTCTTGGACTTGTAGATTCTCAATAAAGACGATCATGAACTTATTTATATTTTGGTGAAAACCCTGTTCATATTTATCAAGTGCATTAATGCAGCTAGTTAAGCTGAACATCACCAAAATTTATAGTAACTGTACTACATCCTCTTAAATGCCTCCGACTCTAGTTTGCCATTCTATATGGTGACTTGGAGATAGGTGTCATACCTGGTTGAAGTTGAGTAGTAATTCAATATGTTTATAGCGAGCGATCATGATAGGTAATCAAGGAATATGCAAAAGGAAGCTTTCTAACAACAATTGGACAACAATGTCCAGCAAATTTTGTTGATTAACTTGGTTACCCAAATGGAATTCTGGATATTCTTGGCATCAAGGTTTGCAATACTGTCCAGTATGGTTCGGTATGGGCGACATTTATTGGTCCGATAATCTATCGGCATGTGGATCATGGTAAATTGGATGGTGTGCCCGATACAAGACCTGTACTATTTGGTACACCCAGTTCATGGCATATTTCTGCAATTTTTATTTATCAACTTTTTCAATCTTTTTTAGAAACTTGGTATGTGTTAGTATCAGTAATTTAAAAAGTGTTAAGTGCTAAGGTACCAAAATGCTCGAGGAACTAGGTGCTCGTCCGAGCAATGCGAGGTGCTCTAAAATATTAAAATATAAAAAATAATATAATTAATAAAGGGATAAAAAATATCACTAACAGTGGAAAGTGGGAAGAGAAGCAACGATGAGAAGTTAGCAGCAGTAGCGGTGGAGGATTAGTCTAAGACAGCCGCAACAACATTGCGAATGATAGCAATGGTGGAAGCTGCAAACGACAATAGTGGCAACGGTTGAAGCTGAGGAGAGCAGCAGTGGGCAATAGCGGCAGCGGATAGTAACGGGAGAAAGACTCGGTCGGCGACAAAGGAAGATTGCAGCGTAGGCAGCGGCAGAAAGTGTTGGCGGCAGAGGCAGTGGGAGAAAACACTAGGGTTGGCTCGGGGTCGCTTGGGCGTAAAGGGTACTTTTGAGGTAAGAAACTATGTTAGTTGGTTCAATCGAACCAACTAACTGCTATTGAACTGAATCAAACTTGAAAGTCTAGTTTGATTGCCTTATATGAATCAAGCGCGCATTGTTAGTTCGGTCAATTGAATCAACTAACTGCCATTGAACCAAACTAGACTTGAAAGTCTGGTTCAATTGCCTTATATGAATCGAGCACTCACCCGAAGTGCCTGACGCCTGGGCTCGGGCGAGCACCCTAGCGGTATGCTTCAATGTCCGCACATGAGGCGCTTGGGCCTCGCCTCGCCTAGGCGAGCGCTTGAGTGCTTATTTAAATCACTGGTTAGCATATGAACACAGTATGCTGGTAAGGTTTGGATGCGTGTAGGTTTCAGTATCCAAAATTAAAGTCGTGGTTGGCATTCTTGCATCAACAATCACTTAGCATGAAGAACTAAAATAATAGGATAATGATTATCTAAGATACCAGCCAAGAGGTGAGAATGTCATGATCTTCCAGAAACAATTGACACTTCCATGATAAGCTGAAAACTGAGACAACCCTTGAATACCTGGTCTATCAATATAAACTAGAATTTATTAGTTAGTTCGCATTTACCAGAATTGGATGATACATTGAATAATAGTCCCTAAGGCATGAGCATCTTGGTGATCAAGAGCAGGAACTCAAGCTTGTCTTCTACATTGTCCATCTCGCTGCTGTTGTTGAGACCTCCATGGATGGTCCCTCGATAGTTCACCAGGTTGGTGATAGTCAAAACATTCATATTGTACAAAGTGTATGCAGTACCGAATGGTACCACTCGGTACGGGTGGTACATACCGGTTCGACGGCATACCGATACGTGAACCGGTCGTTACCGCTACAGTGCTAAAGTATTGCACTGTAAAACTGCTACATTGTTACAGTGCTATACTGTAGCAGTGCTACAGTAAATATATAAAATTATTCGGTACACCAGGGTGTACTGCTCGGTATGCCAGTACCGTACCGTACCGAGCCAATTGAAGCATTTTACCACAATCTCGCATCAATGTTATTGTGGTGGCTGCTTTTATTGTCGTTGATGTGGCAGATGTCTAGCCTTCTATAGAGGACTTGAGTCTACATCATGAAATGAGAAACTTCCTACTTTGGATGTCTAAGACCTAAAAGACTGCCTCTGATGTCTTTTCAGAGACGTCCAATAAAAGACGGCCTCTAATCTTTTTGTTTTTGGTGTTCCTCAATTGGTCGCTCAACAACGAGGGCATTGTTGACCATCTTAGCAAAAGGAGACAGTTCAAGAATAGCCATGTGTTTTCTAATGAACAGAAATTTTTGTCGCTCGAAGCGTCTAACCTTCTACTCATTGGGCACCATATGTGAAGAAAAGCAAGACTATTCCATGTGCCACAGATCTGCTGCTCTGTTGGATGTTAATGAGCTCCTACTGCTTCTGGCGATGCGAAAGAGTTTGAAAATATTGCTCATAGAAAATATCTCTAACTACACTTGTTACTGCTCACTACCAGCTCTTAGAATTCTTTACCTAGTAGACCACCAAAAGTTGGCCTTGCCCTCCGGAATAAGGTTGCATGCTTTGATCCTCTGTTCACTGGGGCAACTGATTGCTGCAAACTTCTTCTCCACCTTTGCAAATCTAATGTTCCACCAGATTGGACCAAGTTTCCCATCAGAAGGAGAGGGATCAAGCTACTCGAACTGCTTCAGCTTAGTTTTGGCCCTACTCGAAGCATCAATGTGTCATGCAACAATTTGAAATGTTCTTGTTGGAAAATCCTGCATAGCATTAAAAAAACCTTGGACAGTAGGTGGAGCTTGTAGAATTGGTGTGGCAGCATTTCTTAGCTTGAGGAGTTGGTGAGTCCTATTTAGGCATTTGAATGTTCTCCAATGCCTCAGACGGGGCCTGAGAGACTACATCCTGAGGTATCCTTTGAGCAATTGTATAGGGCTTGGTGGAATAATGATGCCGGCCCCCACATCCATTACCACTATCACGTACAAGCCATTATCAACTTAAAATTATGCAGCTCCAAAAAAATTATGACCTTATCATGATAAAACCTTGGTTGCTAAGCTTCCATGGCTCCGTAAGATGCTCCAATACCATAAAATTTGTCGGACACCTAGTGCCTTTCCACCAAAGAACTCAAAATGTGCCAACACTGGAAGTAGTTTACCATTACCTAGCAACTATCACCAAAATATTAGAACTCCCACAGTTTAAATTGTCTCAAGCAAATTCAAATAACTATTAAGTGGACAATATGAATCTGGACTACAATCTAAAGATATTGATACAGGATGGTTCTATGATTCTTCGACTTTGATGCTCAATATGACTTTGTTGCACTGAAATATTGAAACAACTCAACTCGACAACTTTGTTGAGTATAAAGAACCCCAGAATAGAAACATGATATCAAAGGATAGTGTCATGGAAATACTGAAGAATCAACAGATTAAGCACAAAAATAGAATATATATACATATATATCAATTTGCAACATTAATTGCGTAGAATGTCATATAGTGGATGTACACATCATATCATCATCATGTTTCAACAATCAAGACATTTGATCTCTTGGGATGAATTACTCCCACATAATAGATGGAGAGGATCACTAGAATGAGTAGCCTCTCTCACCTGCTATGGCGGAGACATGCCTCCTCTACCAAGCAAGAGACCATTTACCAAGTAGCAATGTCCTCAATAATTCTTCATCCATGCCCCATCATAAACATGCTTGTATTGTTGACATGATTTTCGCACACCAAATTCAAATTATATATAATTTTTGACATCCTGTTGTTCTTGACTACATTGTTCTGAGCTTGATTCTTTGCAAGTTTGGAGGGTTCTGAATTTGCAATTCTGTTGGTTTGCATATGTCTAAAACATACCTGCAATTACACTAGTTAGGCAATATCAGTCGGTTCAGATTTGATATTGGAAATGATAAAATGGATTTTATGCTTCTTAGTTTCATTAATGATATTACACTCCATAAAAGGGAACCGATACATCCAATTAAGTTCGATGACGATATTAGATTTATGCGTCAACTTCTTTATGTTGCTATTGGTATGTGAAACTATTATCACAGAACTAAATGGTAAAGCTTTTGGATATCAGTAGAATAGTCACCCTTTTATATATACTACTAATGTTCCAGTGGACATACCTCACATTGCACTTCTCTCATTGATGGAATACTTCTTGATACTGTTTTCTGCTATTTCCTATTCAACTTTTAAATAGTTGGTTTCTTTATTCTAATTATTGTCCAAAATTAATTTCTCCGATTCAGTGTCTTGACTCCTTTCTATAAAGAAGAAGTTCTTTACTCCGAGGAGGAACTTAGAAAACAAAATGAGGATGGGATATCAATAGTGTTTTATCTGCAGAAAATATATCCAGGTAAGTGTCGCAGTCTCTATGGAATATGACATCTTTCATGACTGATATTAGTTGTTTCAAAATTTTTCTTTCCACTGCCCTAAAGATGAGTGGAGGAACTTCTGCGAACGCATAAAAAGTGACCCAAATGATGAAGAATTAAAGAATCATATGGATGACTTACGTCACTGGGTTTCTTACAGAGGCCAGACTCTTTCTCGAACAGGTGTTGAAAACTATTGGTGAAATCGAGCTTGCCCAAGTGCACACTAGTTTCATATTTAATGTTTGATTTCCCTATTTTGACAGTGAGAGGTATGATGTACTACAGACAGGCTCTTAAGCTTCAGTGCTTCCTAGATATGGTGCAGGATCGTGGTCAGTTATCATGTATGTGTTTAAATATTTCCAAAGTTATTTCTTCAAATTATGTTAACATTTATTTGAAATGCATGGCATTATTAAGATATTTGACTGCCTTGCAGCTATTTTGGGGGACCGGAGGACACTCTCACTAGAACAACATACTGATGACCAGAAGAATCTTCATGCACGTTCACTTGCTATTGCTGATATGAAATTCACCTATGTTGTATCATGTCAGGTTTATGGATTGCAGAAAAAATCCCGTGAAGCTAAGGACAGAAGTTGCTACAATAATATTCTTAACCTCATGCTTAAGTAATTCACTGTATTTATAATCAAACAGATTTGAGCAACAATTTTTGCTTCATTATTCTAAGTTCCATTTAAAATCTGCAGGTTTCCATCATTACGTGTTGCTTATATAGATGAGATTGAAGAAATTGTGGGTGGAAAACCACAGAAGATTTACTATTCTGTTCTTGTTAAGGGCACTGATAAGCACGATGAGGTAGTTATCTCCAACAATTTGATGAATGACCTTAATTTTAGTCATTGTCAAAAAGAAACTTCTTGGATATTGTTTTTCTTTACATTAGTTTATACATATCAGTTGCTTTAGGAGTTCAACAAATATACATTAGTTTATACATATCAGTTGCTTTAGTTTATACATATCAGTTAATCATATGGGTTGGATCATGCTTGGTCACATGAGTTGGATCGTGCTTGGCCACATGAGTTGAGTTGTGCTTGATAACATGGGTTTGCGTCATACCTGGTTACATGGGTTGTGTTATGCCTGGTTACATGGGTTGGGTCATGCATGGTTACATGGACTGAGCTATACCTGACTGCATGGGCTGGGTCATGCTTGGCTACATGGGTTGAATCTTACTTGGTCACATGGGTTGAATTATGTCTAACCATATATGTTAAGTCGTACCTGGCAACATAGGCTGAGTTATGCCTAGCCACATGTGCTGGGTTGTACTTGACCACATGGGTTTGGTCATGCTTGGTCACAGGGCTGAGCTATATCTGACCACGTGAGTTGGGTTATACCTTACCACATGTGTTAGGTTGTACCTAACCACATGGGTAAGGGTCATGTTTGGCTATATGAGTTGGGTTATGCCTAACCATATGGGCTGGATCATGCTTGGCCACATGAGCTGAGCTAGCTAATCAACGTAACTCAGGTTAGATCCCAATTTGACTTCTCATATTAAATTATATTTTATTATTTTAAGAAGTACTTTAAAATATTATAAAATAATAATTAACCTCAAATATATTCTTTTTCATGAATTAACTAATTTAGATTCATGATTCCAGATTTAAAACTAATTGAATCATAAAAATCCACACATAATTCCTTAAAACATAAATGTCTAATTAAATAAATTAGAACTATTATTAAATCAACTAATCATTCTAACATCATAATTGAATGATCTTTGTTTATTAATCATAAAATTTTGAAATTAAAATATTATTATACATTATATAAATTATAACAATTCTAATATTAAAAATTTCAAAATATGAATAAAAATTACTAAGAAAAGAATAAATGATCCTACCTTTCTTTGTGATCGTTTCCTCGAGGAATCATTTTCTCAATCCTTCGTGAGGATGGAGCCCTCTTTATATAAGAGTTAAGTTTTTTTCGAAAGGTAAACAATAATTTAATTTTTATTTTGCTTTCACATACAAAGATAGAATTATAATATTTATTTCTTATGATTCACACACGAAAATGGAAATTGAAATATTTACTTTCTAAAAATCATATCAGTTATTATGAAATAAATTAATTAATAATTTAATCGATTAACAAAATTTCTAACTTGTCCATATGATTAAGGAAATCAATTTTAATAATTTCCTTAACCATACACACAAACAAGGAAGCTAATAATTTAAATAAAGCAATACATTATTTATTGTAATTTGATTTATATTAAGGGAGAAAAATCATTGGTGATTACAATTTTAATATCTTCTTGTGATATGATTACTCATCATAATTTTGGTTTGATATAGTCGTGTATAACTGTTTCTTATTCTATAAATTCCATCATATACAATTTATTGTATTTGTTTATATATCTATATCTTTTTATTTGTGTTTTATTTTGTTTCATCCATTTGCTATATTTATCTATACATATGCTGTTCTATGTTTATTGCAAAAGTCACCATACTGATTGCTACATGTGAGAATGGGCTGGAACATATTATGATAGAGAACTACAGCCATACTATGGGAACCCAGGCGACTAGTATGGACATATTCCTAAACTTTTTAAACTATGTTAGCTGGCACAAAGTTGTGCTAATTGACATCACAAAGTTCCTTGTCATGCTCGAGAGGTAACTGCACCCTTATATCATGAAACAGCATTCCTTAGATTATTATAACCTTTTTATTATTAATTATTTACTGCTTATTAAATTTATATTTTTTATTGGATAAATCTCAAATGTGATGCACCCATTTCTATTTAGGCTACAGAGCAACAAAATTAAAAGATTTATAAACATTAACGTAAAACTATACATGTCAAAAAATTTTAAAAATGAGAAAAGAATAAACATTCATAATTAAATTGTTGGAACATATTAATTAAAATATTTTTAAAGGAATGTGATAGATTAATTGTTTCAAAGAATTCATTGAAGCATGATAATGGATTTTGTTATATTCAGACCTGGAAAATTGAACCCGCTGACCCCTAATAGTTGGGATTTAAAGGATTTGTTGATATTATGGAATTGAACTGAAAATCTCTTACTTGCAAATCATAAATGCTGGCATTTAGTTCAGTTGAGTTATCTACTGGTTCTAATTTATTTTACCTTAAAAGAGCATAAGTTGACAGATTCCATGAGGAAAGCATCCCTTTAGTGGTACTCTGTAGGTCTTCTCTTCTGCTTGCCTCTTCTTTGTACTTCTCATCTTTGGAGAACAGCAAAGTACATTTTTTATTAGCTTAAATTGGACAGCTGATCAATGCCACATGTTTCTACTGTGGACTGATCCTAACTGACTGGAAATCTAGGATTATGTCTGATGATTTCTAAGCCTCTCTGTGTCAGCTAGGTCCAATCTAGATCTAGATTGGTTGAATTTTGAGACTACCATTGTTCATCAGAAATATTTGGTATGAGAAGGGAAACTTAGTAGAATACTAGAATATAAATTAATAGTGAAGTAAATAATAGAAAAAAGTGATGAGCATGGTGTAATGACTTATTAGTTTATTCTAGTGATTTGGCAAGGCTCTAGTATAAAAGGTATTGGGATGTTTTAGTTTGTTCCATTAGTTATTAATGCCTATGTCCAATGGTTTGTCAATTTCCTTAATGTGAACCTGGACATGTTAATTGACCTACGAGCAGATTGGTATGTACTATAGGCAAAAGATCAATTGCCACTGGGTTGCTTGGTAGACAAAGAGGCAATTCCTCACAATCAATATGCTTCACTGAGGGTTACTAGTTTCACTGATCATGAAAATTTCTTGGCCTATTTGTTTTATGTATCAACAATGTGGATGCTTGGTTTCATGGTGCACGTGTTATTCGCTTATATTGAAATGCCATCTACCAACAGATTGTTTATTATCTCATAATATAATTATAATTCTCTTAATCATTTTTCACACAGTTGATGAGGAATTAGTAAATTTGATATGTGATTGCCCGATGAGTATATTAATTGTTTTTACTGCTGATATAGTATGACATTATGGTATATGTACTTATAACTTGTACATGATGTAATTGTTTAATAGCCCGTATTTGCTTATGTAATGATGGTTAATGCAATATATCTTGATTTCTCAGGAAATTTATCGCATCAAACTACCCGGGAAACCAACAGATATTGGTGAAGGGAAACCAGAAAACCAGAATCATGCAATAATTTTCACCAGAGGGGAAGCACTTCAGACCATTGATATGAATCAGGTATTATTTATTTCCTTTATTCAATAATTAGAAAATATTGGGCTATTCAATTCTTTCTTTGTTGTAGGATAATTACCTGGAAGAAGCATTCAAGATCAGAAATACTTTGGAAGAGTTCGGACGTAAGCATCGGCCCACAATATTGGGTCTCCGTGAGCATATCTTCACTGGAAGGTTCCTTGTTGGTTGAACTTTTGTTTCAGTGTGAATATGGCATTCTTTAGTTATCTCAAGAATGTACTTCGTTTTTTATGAGTATACCAAGATCAGAGACTACTTCTACCTACTTATGTTCTCCTTTCATATCTTCATCTCCAGTGTTTCTTCTCTTGCCTGGTTCATGTCCAACCAGGAGACCAGCTTTGTGACTATTGGGCAAAGAATTCTGGCAAACCCTCTCAAGTATGTTACCTGCCTATAGTTTAGTTCAAACATATATTCTGTTGCCTTGTGATTATACATCAATTCATAAAAGAATGTACTTTACCAATTATTTTTGTACTTGTAAAATATATTATTCAACATGAACAAAAACAATAGCAAGCTATAATTTGCCTAATTCATTTAAACATCTGGTTTTTCACTATAACACATTCGGTGATCCCAGTATATGTTTCAATTTCACATATGCATCCTGTACTTATTATTGCTGGCTATTGTTCTTGAACCTCCTTGGATCGTTAGTGACCATCACAGGAAGTTATCACACAGATCTATGCCTACAAGTTCCAACATTCAACTCTTCTAGATCATGGTCAAATAAGAAACAAATTGTACAAACACAATTTAGAATGGTAGTAAATGGTTTTCTTGTGTAAATGGATTTTTTTGTAGTTCATGCCTTAAACATATCAACTTAAAATGCTATTTTTTAAGTCAGTTTGTAAATGTTTCAAAATTTAAATTTGTTGTAAGAAAATGCTAAATTGTAAAGGGAATTGTTAACTTCTTTCATATCATCCATATACACGATATCAATAATCCCTATTTGGGACTATAAAAGTTACAGAAAAAATGCACTGAAAAGTATAACTTTTTCTTGCTTGATTGGATCTTCAAAGATCATTTCCTTACATGCTAGACTTTAGTTATATTTTCCTTAATGGATTCTTAGGGATTGTATTTTGTTAGGAGAAAGCCTGAGTCAGGCAAGTACTTTGATAATCAAAACACTTAGTTTTATATCTTGATTGCAATGTACTCAAGCCCCCCAAGAGCTGGTGATTCTGAGCAGAAGGCCAAATATGGCATTGTGAGTCTGTACATGGCGATATCAACTAGTAATGGTAGCAGCATATCCACTGTAAATGTTGGATTGCCTCTTCATTTATAAGTTTCTTCTTGGAATTAGGGACCGTTTAAAAAATAATGTGCGTCATTATCACTGCCTTTAGTGTGGTACTTGGACAAATTTAATGGGAAATGCCCTCTGTAAGCTAACTGGGTGTGTAATTCTTGATAAATATCTGCAGTTTGTAAATTATCTTCACTAGAGGATTTTATTATCAATTTAACTCTGTGTACTCATATTTAAATAAATGGCTATATTCTTATTCTCTGAAGCTGTTCCTAGTTATTGTGCTAATACGATGGCTTCACTTCTTAGGGTTCGCTTTCATTATGGACATCCTGATATTTTTGATAGAATATTTCACCTTACTAGAGGCGGCATAAGTAAAGCATCGAAAACCATAAATCTGAGTGAGGATATTTTTGCAGGTGAGATTAGAAATAACATTGATCAATTGACTATTTGACTTACATATACCTTTTATTGCTTATCATGTTTGACTACTTTTAGGATTTAACTCAACTTTACGTGGGGGAAATGTTACACATCGTGAATATATACAAGTCGGCAAGGGACGTGATGTGGGAATGAATCAAATTTCCCTTTTTGAGGCAAAGGTGTCAAATGGAAATGGGGAACAAACATTGAGTCGTGATGTTTATCGTTTGGGACGAAGGTTTGACTTCTATAGAATGCTGTCCTTTTACTTCACCACAGTGGGATTCTATTTTAGCAGCATGGTACGCATTTTACATGTTCATTTCAGTTATAATCCTCTATGATGATGGGAAAATAGCTTTTTTCTTTATTGTTGTTGTTTTTATTGTAATAATTGTTGTTTTGAGTAAAGCTGATTGATTACATGTTAATTGAAAACATTATTGTTAATCTACTAGCTTATAATGCTGAAAATAAATCATTTGAGTATTTATGATGTCTGAGTTTTCTTTCTTTTCCTTTTCCTTGTAAATTGAGTTGGTCTAACTCAGGAAGACCTTCGTGTTGGCTGGAGCGTTTCTACATGACTTAAATGTCCAACCTGAAATAAATCTTGTCAGATATGATGTCATTATGATTTATGAGATGGGTATGGGGTAGATACACATTGCAATATATGGCATAGCGTTTTGCAAAATTCTTAGTTATTTAGAAAAATATATTAATATACAAGCATGGGAAAAAAGAAATATCGTGGAACAATCTAAAATTAATTTTGTCCACAAAGATCAATTTTCTCGTTTGTTTAGAATTCCTTATGCTGCAATCAATAATTAGTAATATCACAAACTACTTTGGTCAAGGAAGAATAGGCTAGATTTCACACCAAAAATTTTAAAGCATTTGCGACAAGTTGTAATGTCTCAATTTTATGGGTTTGTTATATTGATATTTTGATTTAGGCAAAGATACAGCAAAAATTAATATGCAAAAATCACGGTAAATCTTTGCCAAGGGAGTAAATTGGCAGATTACGACAGTAACAAAAAGTCATCATGTTCCAACTATTTCGGGTTGGAGATAGGAACAATAAACAAGGGGGAAAAGGTAAAAGAACTTATTGGAATTAGTGTTGGCAGACTGCTGGTTCCTGCAATCTCACTGGTTCCATGAACATTTTCAGTTCTCAGACAATCCTGAACAATAGTCCAATTAGTTTATTAGCAGTTTTTAGAAACAAAGATGTAAATGTTGCAGTCCTTAACAAGCTAATTTGCCTCGGTTTCAATGAAGAACTTATATGGACTAACTTTTAGGTAATTTGTGGCAACTAGGATTTGGGATATTAAGGATGTCTTGATAGGAATTTGAGGTTTAGAAAGAGTAGAATATTGGATGACCATTTTGACTTTCTAACACAAATTAAACTTCCAAAACTTGACTCCTAGTTATCAAACTCATACCATACTGAAGATATTGATGTCTCCTTTTTGGATGTAAACAGGCTTCCATGGTTTAAAGGATTTTATATTCTGTTTTTAAAATTGCTCATCCTTTTTTATGATATTTGTAGGATATCTAGAAGTATGTCTTTGTAACAAGGGTTTCGTGGAATATCTGGAATTGTTTTGTTATGTTACTCTTTTGGAGACTTAGAAACAACTTAAGATCTTTAAGATTTAAGGTCTTATTTTAAGAGAGCTATTTAAGGTAATTGGACTTCATTATAGCTGGAAAATGAATGTGCCTAAGAACAAGGTCTAGAAGATTGTAATCTGGATCCAGATCAGCTAGAGGCAATATACTTGGACTGGCAAGATCAGTTAGATTTGATTTGCTGGATCAAGATCAACTGAAAAACTAGTATATGTAGTAAAATATTAGAAAAAGACATAAATTTTGAAACAATAAAAATATATATATTAAAGATTCTGCTCCCTTTACATTTCATAAGGTATCTAGCGTTTACAAAAAACATATGCAACTAAAAAATAAAAGATAAAATTTGTATAAGAGATACCAATGAGAAAATAATGGAGAATAATTCATTATGCTATGTTATATATATATATATATATATATATATATATAT